ACTATTTTGGTAGCAAATTTAGGAGAAAACATAAAGATTTTTTATTGTAGCATTATTTTGATACCTATTAAAAATTAACTTGAATTCAACTATATTTTATTGTATTAATTTTAAAGCAAATAAAATTGTATTTTAATTTTTCTATAAAGACGTGATTTGTTAATAGTTAAATTCTCGTTTTTTTAAATTCTTTGAACGTGTTTTTATACATTATTATTACTTCCAATTTTTAAAATCTGAATAATTACCCGCGAGTAAAAATTCAAGCACGCTTATGCTCATTGCGGAAGCATCACATTCTATCGAAGCTTCAAAACATTGTGTGTTAAAGGTATCTTATTGCTGTGTTCATCTATGTTTATACGTCCATGATATACATTATAAAAACATGCCAACACTGCTAAATCGAAATTTTGTTCCATGTTTGACATTTGCGGCTATAATCAGCTTGCACTTTCGGTAAACTCAACGAATAATTTAGATATTTATCAAATTACTCTGTTTGTATTTTTTATATCCATTACTCTTATCTAGTATTTAATTAGGTCTTTAATTAAAATAATGAAAATAAATTAAATCATTTATTTTAATAAATAAATTAAATCATTTATTTACAGGTAGAAAATATTTTAGTGAACGAAAATGGAAACTACGTTTTATGTGATTTTGGTTCGGCTACAGCTAGAGTACTAAATCCTTTGGAAAAGGGTGTTGCAGTTGTAGAAGAAGAAATCAAACGATACACTACTTTGAGCTACCGATCTCCAGAAATGGTAGACATGTATTGTGGAAAATTGATTTCAACAAAGGCTGATATTTGGGTAATGTTTTATTTTCTTTTTGTTGCTACTAATGTTATATATAATATGTAATGGTTTATGGGATTCCGATGTGCGATGGAAAATGTAAAATTTGTTAAAAAAAGAAATGATTTGCATAAATATGAAAGAAGCTGGAAGTAGTGATTTTTATTGAAAAACCTATAAAATATTTTGCTGTCATGGGATTTCATGTTTAATAGTTCCCCTTCTGCTATAAGGGTTTCCCAATCAGAAATACTTCTTTCTTCTATTTTATTAATATCTTTTCCGCAATCAAGAACACTTCTATTTTCGAGGCACTTGATTTAGTAAAATTAACAATATCATGAATCCTAAGAATATCGTTACTATTTGCTACGACTCTGTCACACATACATACACTTAACGGTACCTCCTACTCTATTCCATCCAATGGCACTACAGCCCAAGCCGGGCCTTGGCCTCCTTCATTAAACCTCTCCAAACATCTCTATTTACTGCTATTCTTTTCCATGAACGCGTTTTTAGGAGATTTTTGGCATCCTCATCTACCTCGTCTTCCCATCTCTTTTTTGGTCTTCCAACAGGTCTTTTTCCTTGCATTCTTGCGTTTAGTAATTTTCTGGGGATTCTGTTCTCATGCATGCGGGCCACATGCCCTGCCCATCGTAATCTCTGCAGTCTAGTGTATTGTGCTAGTGTTGGTTCAGTGTATTGTTCGTATATTTCGTTATTATATCTAATTCGCCAGTTGTTATTTTCCTTTATTGGACCCAGTATTCTACGCAATATTTTTCTTTCGAACACGTCTAATGCATTGGTAGATTTCTGTGTTATAACCCATGTTTCACACCTATAACTTACTATTGGTCGGATTATTGTTTTATATACCCGGAGTTTTGTTTTCCGGTGTACGTCTCGCGATTTGAATATGTGGCCCATCGCGAAATAGGCTTTGTTTGCCAGCATAAGCCTTCTATTTATTTCCGGTTCTTCTTCATTATTTTCGACCAGATCCATTCCTAAATATGTGAATCTATTCACGTATTCTATATCGTCTATAAATTGTTGTTGTTGCGCCTGTCTATTTGATCTGGTTTGTATGAGTAGTTTTGTTTTATTTGTATTTATTGTTAGCCCTACAACTTCTGAACTCTGTTTCAACTGAACGTAGGTTTCTTCTGCCGCAGTCTTTGTTCTGCTCATTATGTTTATGTCATCTGCGTATGCTGCTAATTGGGTAGATTTGTTTGTAAGTATGTTATTTTTGCTCACCGTCAACCGTCTAATTACATATTCAAGAACAAGATTAAAAAGTGTTGGAGCCAGTCCGTCACCTTGTTTCAGTCCTTGCGTTGTCATAAACGCATCAGTGATCTGTCCTTGAATACATACATGTGCTTCTGTTTCTGTCATTGTCATTTACACTAGTCTTATTAATTTTGATGGTATGCCAAATTCTTGTAATATATTAGGTAGTATTGTTCTATCTATTGAATCATAGGCTTGCTTGAAATCTACAAAGAGATTGTAGACGTCTATGTCATATTCCCATGCTTTGGCTAGTATTTGTTTAACTGTAAATAGTTGGTCAATAGTAGATCTATTTTGCCTAAACCCTGCTTGATATTCCCCGATAATTTTTTCAGTGAGGGGTTTGAAGTCTTCGATTGAGAATGTTTGTGAGTATTTTGTATCCCGAACAAAGTAAAGAGATGCCTCTATAATTCTGGCATAACAGTTTGTCTCCTTTTTTATGAATAGGGCAGATTATACTTTTCTTCCATTGTTGTGGGATTTTTTCTTCTCTCCATATTTCTTGTATAAGCTGGTACATCTGTTCTGTCAAATTTGTTCCTCCCTGCTTGAACAGTTCTGCCGGTATCTTATCTATTCCCGGCGCTTTATGGCTTTTTTGCATTTGGATTGCTGTTCGAACCTCCTCTAGCGTTGGAGGTCTAGCCAATTCATTATCTTCTCCATCTTCCCACAGCTCCTGTTGTTGACCTTCCTGTTCTACCTGCTGCTGCCGCTGTTGTAGTGGTGTTTGTGCCCTTTCGTTTAATAATTCCTTAAAATACATCATCCAGGTTCTCTTAATTTCGTCCATATCGCTAATTATTTCCCCATTCTTATTTTTGCATAGGCTAGTCTTCGGTTTGTAACCCTGTCTTAAATGTTTGATAAGTTGGATAACCTCCTACTCTATTAGATGAACTTTTTCTGTGTCCGGATGTCGTGTAATTGCAGGTTGTATTGTTGATTCCAAAAACTTCACATTTCTTTTTGTACTCTGTTTTGAGTCTGTTCCTTTGGAAGTGCATTATTTTTATATTAGGGACAGTTTTTTAAATCAAATCAACAACTGGCTGTGGAAGAGTTCAAACTGCAGTAAAGTCATGTCTTAAGCATTCAGAAGCTCCACAAAATGAAGCGCAATTCACTTTTCCTAAATCCTTATTCAGATAATTAAATTCAAATAAGCAAAAATATTCTAAAAAATAAAATAGTAAAATAGCTCAGACATTACTGTTGCTTTCCACCTACATTTAAAATACCCTTTACTGCATAATTCAATATCTCGTCGAATTCTTATAACCGGTTTTTACATCTATACTTCCCACAACACTTTTTATTTAACACCAGATTGTCACCTCGGGGGAACAAATAGCGGTCTGAACTCCTTCTAATGCCTCCGGGTGCTCTGTAGAGGGCTTCGGAGACGTCAACGAAAGCACCTCTACTCAAGTCTATTTACGGGATATAGACTTGTGAAGTTCTCTTCTGATGGGCTCGTCTTGAAAAAGACGAGCTATTTCTTACATGACTTAGTCTTCTTACAAGTCGAAATAAACATCAGGTACGTGGTTCTCTGACGACTTGCCTTAAAAAAGGCAAGATATTTCTTACACGACTAAATACAGTTTTTTTCTAATATTTGTCGGACGGTAAATATCTGATCTATCGTTCACCTTCCAGTACTAAAGCCGCATTGGTAGTCGCCTAGAATATCTTCCAAATATGGTGTGAGTCTCTTTAGCAAGATAATTGATAGCAGTTTATATGATGTGCTAATAAGCGATATGCCTCTATAGTTTCGGAATTGTTCTTTATTTCCTTTCTTATATATGGGAATTATAACGCTTCTATTCCATTTTCTAGGTATTTTCTGTTGTTTCCATACTCTCAGAATGATGTCATACAATTTTTGGTGTAAAAGGTTTCCTCCTTTTTTAACAACTCAAGTGTTGGTGCTGGTATTTCGATATCTGCAGAATAAAACGTAATATCTGCTTCCTCCGTCTCACTTTCAATATTTAGTAAATTCCGAAAGTATTTCTTCCATCGTTCGACGATTTCCGTTTCTATCATTATAAGTTCACCTGCTTCATTTCTCATAGGCTGTGTTACTCCAACACTTGAAACCTTTTCTGACTGACTTCACTTCACTAAAGAATTTCCTTATTTGATTCCTCACGCCGCTTCTGTCCATTTTCCGGATTTGCTGTTTTAGGTAGCTCCTCTTTTTAGTTCTTAATAGTCGCCTTGTTTGTGCTCTTGTTCTGTTAAAATCTGCTTTGTTCTCATCTGTGGGGTCTTGTAGCATTTTCAATCTTTTTTCGTTTTTATTTTCAGAATTTCCTCGCATGCTTTGTCAAACCATTTCCGTTTTGGGTGAGTCCTTTTTTTCCAATGGTTTCCTTGGCTGCTTGTTCTATAACTGATGGCACTTGCTGCCATGCTTGTTCTAACTCTACATTATATTTATGTATGATTTATAATTCGACTATTGTTTAATAATGAACATATAACAGATTCCCAGATGTCGCATACGTCTATCTTTTCTGGCAAAATGTTAAAGCTATTACAAATTCATCATCACTCAAATGATATATTCGGTTTCTGTTTTTAGCTACTAGGTTAAATAATACAATGATACAATAAAAGGAATGATGATACAATTAACATACACAAAGTTTTTCAGAAGCTTTAGTAATTATTAAAAATTCATCCTGTTGTTTTTGTGGTGGTTTGGTGTTATTTTGCTTTGTAGTGATATATTTTGTTTTGAGTTTGTATGCAGTGGTCTACACATCACGGCCACCACTTTCCATCTCTCGTCTTACAAGCCCTAAACACAATGAATTTTACCAAATACTACCTGTGAAATTGTACGATAAAATTTTACTTTGTTTTTAGGCTTTAGGCTGTTTACTATACAAAATATGTTTCTTTACATTACCATTTGGAGAAAGTACCTTAGCTATACAGAGTGGAAACTTCAGCATTCCAGATAGTTCTCGATATTCAAAAGGACTACATCAACTTATAAGTAAGTAAATAGTCTGGTAGTAGGTATAAAGCATTATTAATTTTGTTTTTAGGATATATGTTAGAACCTGATCCAGAGCAGAGGCCAGATATTTATCAAGTTAGTTCTATAGCATTTCAATTATTAGGTAGAGAAAACCCTGTAAAGAATTTAATGGTAAGTTTAAACGAATATCGATTTGGTTGGTTTTTTTATGAAATATTATTTTTCCAGAAATCTTCAACGCCAAATCTAGATGAAATACCAGTTCCACCATTCGAATCAGAGTTAAAGAAAACTCAGATAAAAGTGCAAACTAGCAAGACAGTAGCACCTGTGATAGAAGGAACCAGCGTAATGCCGCGACAACGACCAAAAGGCAGTTCAGCCACTCCCTTGAACCTCAACAATATACCTTTAACTCTGTGTCCTAGTCCTACCTTAGCGAAAAAAATCCCAGAGCCCTGTAGTGCCCGCAGCTCAGACCAATTTCCAAGGTAATGTCCCTTATAATCCACCCTTTCCAGCTCCTAGTTCCAATTCTAACAATCAGAACTTTTCTCCTAACTTTTTCCCTACGCCTGAAATGCCTCCTCCGCATTTGGACTCATTATTTCAGTCTTCCATATATCCTGATCCCTTTCGAGATGATTCTGGAGCCTCACCCACTACTGCTGATGCTAACAATGGAAACAAAATTGAAAGTAGGGTAAGTGAGATAGAGGCAACAAGTTGTTAAAGTGTTCTATTGAAAATTTAATTCGTCAGTATCGACGAATATTTGTTTCTTTTTAATTGTGAGCGCATAATACACTGCAACCATCAATCACTGCTTCATAACAACTTTTATATATGATGATAACTATTAGTCAGTATCCGAAACGGATGTGTTCAGCTAGATGAAAAATAATATCGTATTTTTGTTATCTTATTGTAATATCTATTTATAGGACAATTTTATGAGTCAGGCACCTGCTAGTCTGCCAGTGAATATAGTATCGCCAGTTTCTCCAGAAAACCCCTTGTTCGACACTGGAAATGTCACTCAAGGAGTATCCCTTCAGATGAGATCCGGTTTGACCGAATCCAGCAACGTTATCGGAGGAAACAGCACCCCTCCAGCTTCTCCAACCCTTGCAGTACCCAGAGGCCATAGACGAAACATGAGTGATACTACAGCATTTAATAAGTAAGTTTTTGAAATTATTATTTTTTCTCTTACATTTTGTGTCTTCTTTTTTAATAGGCAATGTGCTAGTTCAATTTTCGGTATAATATTCTAAAGCTAAACAGTTACACTAGCGTATTTTTGGTGGTCCAATGCTTCTTCGTCCTCTGGGTGGTTTGTCTCGAGATATTTTTACTATTATGTTTTTTGCCATTCCTGCAGTATGTTTATTCCTGCAATATGCTTTTGTCCTAGAAAAGTTTTGCCGAATATTCTTAGAATTTTCATTTGTGTTGTTTCCACTACTCGTTTTGTTGTTCTTGTTTCAGGCCTTGTTTCTGCAGTGTACGTCAAAATGTAATATTGTTGTCTCGTAAACTTAAGTTTTAATGTCGATATCAAGATCTTTATTTTTCTCGGTACTATGTCTTCACTGTTCACGTACTGTTGGCTGCAACATTAAAAATAAAATGAAAAAGTTCACAAATCCTTAAAAAATACAATATATAGATGTAGAAAGCACTCTGACCCAACAGTAAGAACAGAAGTATAAGTACAATTAAATTCAAGATTGGAAATCATTCACCAAATGACAAATGAAAAAAACATTAAAGATCCGTGGACACAGATGAAAAGGTCCGTTTTGGAGGTTATTGTAAATAAGTTAAAACAAGGTTAGATCACACACAAAGGCTGTATAGCTGACCTCCTATGTATACCATCCCTGTTGAGGGATGGTTATATAATATGTTGAGAGATGACTATAATAAGTTCAAAAAAGGTTAAGTCACACACAAAGGCTGTATAACTGACCTCCTCCTATGTGCCATCTCTGTTGAGGCTGGCAACCATTATTGCCAAGTTGTCTCTATCCATTGGGTTCATCCAATCTCTTATATTTCTCAGTGACGATTTCTTCTTTTGACGTATAATTCTTCCATTTATCTTTCATTGCAAAATAGTTGTAGCTGTTCATACTCATGTTCATTGTTATGGACTTGTTTCAAGATGAAGCTAAAAAGAACATTGCCGCACCAAAATCAAATCAGTCTGGAGATTTCAAATCCGAAAACATTTAGAGATGCATTAAAGGAAACTAGTATATTGAACACACAAGACAAACCAGAAGAGCGAAGGAGAATCAAATCTCTTATATATCAAACCGACAGCAACAAAAACGAATTAGCAAGGTTAAAAAGAGAAATTAAAAGAGCATGTAGGGATGATAAAAATAAACATATAAATGAAGAATGCGAAGAACTAGAGAGACATACAAACCGGTATGAATCCCATGAGCTATATAACAAAGTCCGATATCTATCTAGGGACTTTAAACCAATCACACAAACAATAATGGATCAAAACCAACAAATTATAAATGACGAGAAAGGGATTGCGGAGTTATGGAGAAAATATTGTCAAAGTCTATATGCAGATGATCCCCGGAATGCAAATCACGACGAGTTCACTGCAGAGAGAGAACCACACATTCTAAAGTCAGAGGTAGAAAAAGCATTCAAAAAGTTAAAAAATAGAAACACTCCTGGCGCAGACCAGATCACCGCAGAAGTTTTAAAAGAGACTGGAGATGTTGGAGTAAATGTTATGCATATGATCTGCAAAAAGATTTGGGAAACCGGAGAGTGGCTCAACGACTGGACAACATCCACTTTCATCCCTATATTCAAAAAAGGAACTCCGCTAGATTGAAGCAACTACAGAACGGTAACCCTAATATCCCACGCAAGCAAGGTTCTACTTCATGTAATACATGAAAGACTAAAAGCTTTTCTATTGCCTCAGATATCGGAAGAACAAGAGGGATTTGTCCCAGGAAAAGGCACAAGAGAACACATCCTTAATGTCAGACAGCCAATCGAAAAAACTCGTGAATTCAATACTCCTATGCTTATGTGGGTGGATCCTGTGACTAATGTTGAGGTCCTACGTAGAATAGGCAAGGAATGCGAGATTATTAACACCATCAAAGAGCGCAAACTAGAATATCTTGGCTATGTTATGAGGAATGAACAGAGATACGGCTTGTTGCAACTCATTCTTCAGGGCAAGGTATTTAGAAAGAGAGGACCAGGGAGAAGAAGAATATCTTGGCTTCAAAAAATTAAGAAAGTGGTTTAATACATCGACAACCGGACTATTCAGAATAGCAGCAAGCAAAGTTAGGATAGCCATGTTGATCGCCAACATCCGGAACGGATAGGCACCGTAAGAAGAAGAAGAAGAATGCTTATGTGCTTTGTGGATTACACAAAGGCCTTCGATAAAGTCAAATGGGAGCAGCTATGGTCCATACTAGCGGAAATGGGAACACCCCACCACCTAATTCATCTAACTAGAAGTCTATATGAAAATAATAAGTGCATAGTAAAAATAAACAATACACATTCCGATCATTTCAGAACAGAGGCAGGTGGCAGGCAGGGATGCATAATCTCGCCAACTCTGTTTATTATCTACAGCGAACACATTGCGAAAGGTACTAGACGGATGAAAGGGTGGAATATCAGTAGAAGGTCAAAAAATCAGTAACTTAGATGGACACAGCAATAAGATACCTTTAACACACAATGTTTTGAAGCTTCGATAGAATGTGATGCTTCCGCAATGAGCATAAGCGTGCTTGAATTTTTACTCGCGGGTAATTATTTAGATTTTAAAAATTGGAAGTAGTAATAATGTATAAAAACACGTTCAAAGAATTCAAGAAAACGAGAGTTTAACTATTAACAAATCACGTCTTTATAGAAAAATTAAAATACAATTTTATTTGCTTTAAAACTAATACAAAAATCTTTATGTTTATGTTTATGTTTATGTTTTCTCCTTAATTTGCTATCCAAATAGTTCGATCGTCAATATTATTTGGAAACCTACATAGAAAAATAAATGAGTTTTATTCATTTCACTACTTTATTTGTATCCATGAGAAATATTAAATTAAAAAGGTACTAAACAGATCTTTTTTATTCAGATGATGTCTACTTACAATTTAAACATGTCTACTAATTTCATGAACTCATATCTTATTCAATACATTAATGAACATGAATAAACCCAATGGTACGCCTATTAAAATGTAAACAAACACGCTTCCTCATTTCCTCATCTTAAATAATGTAAATTGTATGTATACTTCATCTAATTACTATTAAACTGGGAATAAGCCACAATTAAAGATAAAAATACGTTTATTGACGTTTCAATTTCCACTTCGGAAATCGTTCTCAAAATACAAACAGTAAATTAAACAAATTTTGTTTTTTGTTACATAGTGAAAAATTCTTCTAATAATTTAATTTTATCTGACTCATTTATATTGACAATTCAGACATACATTATGCATTTTAAAGTAGACGACTTTAAAATGATATTGCCAATATTGTTAAGTTGCGCTCCTGGGACGACTTTACTTATAAGATAGTTCATTCGATTACATGAAATCAACTTTAACTTGAGAATATCCGTCAGAAAAAAATCATAGCATGTAATTCGTCTTTAAAAAGACAAACACATGACATGATGAAAGATACTCCAAAATGAAAGATAGATTTTTTAGAAGTATAGATTTTTTGGACTAAAACATAGATGTAGGGTATTCTCAAAAGATCTTTTAGATCACAGCGTAGAATTGTCTTCGAAGCCTATGATTGAAATCTGCAATATACATCAAAATTTGAAGATGATGCATTTATATACCACTGATTACAGTACTAATTGATTTCAAAGTATTGAATTATTTACACACTTTAATGTATAGATATTATATAGTAAATTGGATCTTGACGTTGTTTCCTCTAATTTCTAGAGCTTACGCATCTGAAACATCTCAATTCCTAGCTCCTTTTGAATCGTCGATAAAACCCCGTAGTGTGACTTCGCCCACAGAATCGTGCGAGGATCCAAATAGAACCTTGGCTCCAATGGGCACTTCCGCATCGACAAAAGACTTAAGTCGGGCTATGGGTCCCGATAGTCGGTCTCTATCTGCTGATGTGGCCGATTGGAACCCCTTCGAAGAAGCACCTTTTAGCCAGTTGACTGAGGACCATATTTTCGGTGCGGAATTTGACAAGATTAGAAGAGGAAGCAGCAACAGTAAGTACTTTTAGATAATTTTATTTTCACTGATCAAGTCATTAATTTCTACGTTGCCAGTGCAACCAACTGCTTAGAAATTCCGTAATAATAGTAATTTTGCTCGACACCCTTGTTGTCGAGCATACGTTCCTAGTAGGTTGTATCCATGTAAATTTGCGGATGTCTCTATGCTGAAAAAAATAGTCTTGTTGTAGAAATCGTCTTTACTTTCTGGATCTGCGTCTTCATTTTAGGCATACACTCCGACAATTACGATGTTGTGTCCATTCTTTTTCATTTCCAGTATTAGCAGTTGTTCGTTTACTTCAGTTCCCGCTTTAATATTGTTTTTAACATTTTTTCGAATGGCAATAGAGACTCCTCTCTTAGCTCTGTTATCTTTACTCACTCAGATATAGATATGTATATATTCTCCTATCTCTTCATTTTCTTTTTCCTTTTTTTTTGGTCTCAGTGAGAATACATATATCTATTTTTCTTTCCGCTAATTCTTTGAATACTTCTGCTTGTTTGTTCTAAGTCCTTGTACATTCCATGTAGCCAATATCATTTTCCTTTTCCGTTGCATTAGTCGTCTTTATTTTGATTCATCCTTGGTATTCCGAGGCTTTTGGTCGAAATGTTTAGCATTTATTTGTTTTGACAAGGGATGAGTTGCTATCCCATCGCCTCAACCCTCCTCCTTTATCCGGGCTTGGGACCGGCACCGGCATTTACTGAGCTACTCAATCCACCAGCACTTACCGGAGGCAGAGTTGTTTTTATTTTAATATTTTTATATTTTACCTATTAATAAAAAAAAATAATGTAAAAAATTTGCAGTGCTTTAAAAAATTATAAGTTTATATAAAACCACCAATACTCGACCTTACTGTATGACTGTTAACCATGAACTGACGATATGTTATAACTATTTCACATTATTTTTATATTTTTATTTTCTTCCATATCTTCTGTCAATGATAATTGTTTGTATATATTATATAAATAGTATTTGCGTTTATGTTTTATTCATATCATTTGTTTATTTCTTAAAGCAATCCTGTATTAAATACAAACTTACGTTTTTTTATTATTAAATGAAATTTCCTAATCTATGGTCTAAAGAGAATCAAACAATTTGGTTTTTATTACTCTATTTTTTAAATGTAATTCTTTAATCGTCAAAATGTAAATAAGATAATTAGTTGACAAAAAATTAAAGTGTAAATATGATCTAGAAAGATACGTAGGATGTGGTAATAAAGTTAACAAACTTTTAGTTTCATGTTGATAGTATTAGAGGTAAGTTCGTTTTTCAAAATTTTAAACATTTTGCACTTTGTTTCGACGAGTTGGACATGGTTTATTACTTTAATTATTTCTCATTATTCTTGTCGTATTATTTCTTGAAAAGTATGACACCTTTATGGCTTATGCCGTATAGTTTTCATCTCTGTATTTTACCCCCATTTATATATCGTTTCTCTTGTACATTCTCTTCTTCGCTTTGTCCCATTACATCTTCTTTTATTATTTTTTGTGGCATCTTTCGTCAAGTGCCTTGTCTTGTCTTTTGCTTCTAGATAATGAGTTTATTTTCATTTAAATATTCCACTTTCTTGTTTGTTCTTGGATTCCGCTTTCGGATATTAATTGTAATACCTCCATACATTTTTCTTGTGATTTTTCTTTCCCATATAACAATTATTGAATAGCGTAACAATTAAATTTTGTATAAATAGTTTATTGCTTTTAGATATTGGATAATCACTTTGGCACCTCACTTTACGAATAGCCTCTCAAATTCTCCGGGATTCCGAATTTACATCTTTCCGCACTGTGTAACAGGCTTTCCACTAGAAGGTGTTTTACTGTTAGCGGGTTCTCGCAAGCATAACACTCCGGTTGAGAATCCCTTGTCATCAGATGTCCACGCGTAAGGCGACTATAACCAAGCCGCAGTCGTGTGATGATAACCTGAAAAAAACAGTTGGTGGAACTATCAGACCATGGTTGAAATATTGGTTTTATCTCAAGTAATTTTGCCTGTTTTTTGTGCAATCTGCTATTCCATATGTTAACTATTTTGCTGTGGAAATATGATTTGAGATCTGTCGCGAGAGTTTTTGAATAGAACTTAATAGTTGTGTCCTCTAAGGCTTTTCGTTCGAATTTATCCGCCAGATCGTTTCCCGTGATTCCAATATGAGATGGCATCCACAGGAAAGCAATGTTTCTGTGATTTAGGTTGTGCAATTCTTGTCTAATGGGTTTGGCCATAGGATGGGAAGAATAGATTTTTAAGATGATTTCTAGAGAACTTAGTGAGTCAGTAATTATTAAGAAGTTAGTTTTAGGACATTTTGTAACGTGACATATGGCTTTATATATTGCAAATGGTTCTCCTGTTAAAATAGTAGTTTATATTTCTTTATTTCATCCTTTGTTACAAAGGCAGATGCTACACAATGTCCTATTTTAGATCTATATGTGAATAACTATTTGAAGCAAGAAAATTGAGAAATTAGGGTTTGATATTTAGAATTAATTAGATGACGATTGCTATCTTTCTTATTTTCTGATAATAGATCCAAATTTATGCGAGGAGAAGATATTAGCCAAGGAGGAGAAGTTGGCATCTTGCTAGGATATATTTCGGTGACTTTAAGGTTCAATTCGTTTATGATTCGTCTGCATCTTTCGTAAAAGGAAATTTGGGTTTTTGCGTGCTGGATATTCGAGCAGCGAATGGTGAACGTGATATTGTAGAGAGTACCGCTTCGATGCATATGAGCATTAATTCCTGTCGTCTTAAATCTAATGGTAGTTCACCGAGTTCGGCCTGAAGAGTTAAGATAGGGGTTGTTCTAAATGCACCGCTTATTATTCTAAGAGCGTTATTTTGAATGGTGTCTAAAACTTTTAGAGTTGTTGTTGAAGCAGACGAGTAGGCGTGGCATCCATAATCGATCTTGGAGGGGATCAGATTTTTATATAATATGAGTAGAATTCTACCGTCCGCTCTCCAGTTCGTACCAGAAAGACATTTCAAGAGGTTTAGTCTTTTTTGACATATAGCTGATATATATTTGATGTGGTCCTTCCAGGTTAGAATTTGATCAACTATTAAACCTAGATATTTAATTGTATTTACATATTCAAGTGTCTGACCCCCAAGTTTTGAAGTAGGTATTTCTTTTATCTGTTTTGGTCTCTTTGAGAATATGATGCAGCGAGTTTTAGATCAAGCAAATTGAAAACCACTCCTTTTAGACCATGCTATAAATTTATCGAGTTAATCTTGTAGTAATTACCATACTCTGTATATTGTTTCCATTTAAGAATATTATAAGATCTTCTTCTTCTTAAAGTGCCCTCTCCTCAATGGAGGTTGGCTACTACAATTTTAAACTCTTCTCTATCTTCAGCTGTTCTTATTAGCTGTTCAAAATTTAGCTCTGTCCATTGTCGGATGTTTCTGAGCCATGATAGTCTTTTCCTTCCTAGGCCTCTCTTTCCTCGATTTTTCCTTTCACTATGAGTTGGCCATATGGTACTTATTATTTCTCAGTATGTGGCCTAGGTATGATGTTTTTCTTACTTTTACTGTGTTAAAAAGTTCTCTTTCCTTGCCTATTCTATGCAGCACTTCTTCGTTTGAGGTATGCGATGTCCATGAAATTTTGAGTATTCTCCGGTAGATCCACATTTCAAAGGCCTCCAATTTATTTACGGTTGATGTTTTAAGGGTCCACGTTTCAACTGCATATAAAGAGTCGACCAGACGTAGCATTTTGATAAACGTAGTCGAATTTCGAGTTTTATTCGAGAATCACAAAGCAGTTTTTTTATTTTTTCGAAAGATTTTCTAGCCTGTTCTATTCTCGATCTTATTTCTTGATCAGGATTTAGGCTGCTATCGATCCAACATCCCAGTACTTAAATCTATTGACCTGTTCTAAGATGTGCCCATTTATTGTGCAAGGTTGAGGTACGTTTTGGTTTTTTCGGATTTGACATCACTTTGGTTTTTTTAATGTTTATTTTCATACCAAATTGCTCACAGGTCGAGTTGGTCTTGTCGATGAGTCGTTGTAGACCTGAGTCGGAATCCGCAATTAACACTGTATCATCGGCGTATCTGATACTGTTGATATATTACGCCATTCACCTTGACTCCATCCTTGGAATCCTCCAATGCTTCTTTAAATAGAAACTCGGAGTAAAGATTAAACAGCAGAGGCGACAGAACACATCCCTGTCTAACTCCCCTCCTAATTTCTACTTCTGCGGATGTGGAACCTTCGATCCTAACTCTGGCTTTTTGGTTCCAGTACAAGTTTTTTAAGAATATTGATGTCTTTTCCATCTAAACCGACTTCTTGCAAACGTTCTAATAGTAGGTCGTGTCTTACTCTATCAAATGCTTTTTCGAAGTCTATAAAGCATATAAATATATCTTCTGTTGGTCGTAGCATTTTTGGGCGAGAGAACTAGTAAACTGAACAGGGCTTCTCTCGTTCCCATGCCGGCTCTGAATCCAAACTGATCGTCTCCGATGATTGTTTCGCACTTTCTATAGATACGATTTCCAAGCATTGGATATTCATCACGGATACTGCACCAAAAATCGTTGAGAGGCGTCGTTTTAAACAGTGACTCCATACATGTGTCTGATGACATTTCTAAAAGAGATTCGTATATCTCGTTTCACATACTTTCGGGCTTTTGTAAGTTGGATGAAAAAGGATTATGAGTCCATGAATTCAGATTTCTCAAAAGATGCAAAAGTGAGATATTTGACCAATTCTTTAAATACATTATCTTGGAACATTTCGTTCGTTATCGCTAACAAACTCACTGATTGACGTAAAGCTTTCTATTTCTCTCTTTCCGATGCAAATAATCCAAAAATCTAATTTTCTTTTGAAGGCAGTTATTTTGTTACAGGCCTGAAACACTGTTGTCTGTTTACCTTGCAATGTTAAATTTAAATCATTCAATTTTTGAAAGAT